CGCCTAAGAATAAGTTAAAAAAAAATATGAAATGTCTAAAGACACAAATTTAGATTTAGATTTGACTTGCAAGAATATAAATGATCAGGGACCAAGCTCATCAGATTGTCAAACAATGAAGACCCTTGAAGTGGCATGATGTCGCAGCAAAGACGAGATGGTATACCTTTTTTTATTCTTTTCAAATTATTCAGTACAGAAGCTAGAACCTTTATCAAGTGAGTGAGTTGGGTTTAACGCCGCTTTTAACATTATTCCAGTTATATCACGGTGTGTCAGCTTAATGTGGGAGGAAAGCCCGAAGTGATGCAGGTCCCAGAGGTTTACCACTTCGGTGAAACCCACGAGCACGGGTATGGTGCTGACAAACCTAGAAAAATAATGCGGATGAACCGGGATTCGAACCCACAATCATAGGTTTCTGGCGTGCCCAAGGGACGCAACTCTGCACAGAGAATCTTGGCGCCTTAGACGACTGGGTCACCCGTGTCCCCAGAACCTTTATCAAGAAAGTGAGCACGGGTATAGTGCTGACACCTAGAAACTATTGGGGTGAACCGGAACCCAGGTTCTTCTTGCCCGAGAACATAGCCAAGAAGAGATATTGCTATTTTGTCCAAGTCAGTTTGTCCAAAGTTGAAAGAGAGCTTTAAAACCTGGAAGTCATTGTCTTGTTAAATATACAGAACCAAATCTGGGACAGAATCATCTAGTATTGGTGTAACCGGATGTTTCTGTTTTAAAGCAGGGTTTGAAATTAACATTCAGTAAGACTCGTAGACTTCAGGAAGTGCTGGTGACATTTCCTCGTGGACTGCCACTTTTACCTTTAGGTAGATGGCATCTCTGTAGCAGATACGTTTTGCGGACCAGTGAAAATAAACGGTAACTTCTAATCCTGTACAGGACGGGTGAAACGATACAGGAATGTCATGATACAATACGTATCATGCTACATGGGTCACAATATGTTACGTATCACGATATCGCATAAACACTTTTTGACTATAAATATTTCAGAGCAGGTTCAAAAGGAAAAGCTAGCTTCTGACACAAAGTTGTAATGGCTATTTTTAGCAGTGAACTTGAAACGCTATTTACAACACATTTTGCAATATCTGACAGAGAAATATGCTTGGGGTCATTAAACGAGTAGTGAGTAATTTGTGCTAGCAAGTGTATCGTCTTATATCGATACAGAAAAAACATATCATATATCGTATCATTGAATGAAAACTCCCGGTGCACCATTGTATTGTTTCACCCCTCCTGTAAAGTGGTACTCAAATAATTATGAACCTCATATATATTTCATTTAAAGTGTCAGAAACCTTGAACCAATATATTTAATATCCACATCAAGACTTCCTATAAATTCCTTACGTCGCAAAATGGCTGAAATAATGCCGATGGGACTTTAAATTTTACCCCACTCATTATATATTCCTTACAATGAGAGGCAGTCTGATTGAGAACATTATGTGACAATGTCAGACATTTCCATCCTGTAACAAGTTCTGATGATCATTTCTTTTAACAAATGTGGGACTGTTGCCATTTTATACATTGCCTTCCCTGATATCTAGATACAAACGTTTCTGTTGCAAAATATACAGTTGAGAGTATTTGTCGATACAACGGTTACAAGAATAAGCACTGTCAAAAATAAACAATGTCATTTTCATGTCATCCATGTCCTGATGACACCTTGCATTATCAGGCAAGAGAAGATCACACGTCACACAAATGTTTGTACACTGTACATGTTTGTCAACCACAAACATCTGTCATTCAAATAAAAAGAACGAAAATATCTATCACAGAAGGCAGACGGACTAGGACGGGATTGAAAGAATACTGAGCCATTTGCAAAATGAAATCACATCTACGATTGAATTTTCAAAAATATTGCCATTTTCTTCAAGTACACTCATTATTAGGAGTTCCTCACAGAATAACATGGTTGTCTGTTTCCATGGCAATAGTTCACCATGACCACAATCTTATAACAGTTGTGAACATATTAAAATTACTTACCTATCACACTGCTGTTCATTTTAAGAGAAGAGAATTTACAATTTGAATGTTTTCTCATATCTCTGAATTACAAAGGTGCAAAATTTGAAAGACATTCTGAATTTAACATTATCAGTAAGGCACAGGCGGGAAAGTAGACAGCAGACAGTAGACATTGTAGACAGACGTAGTGGAAGCCAGTAACACTGCAAGTAGTTGACAGGGAAACAGTCTCATAAAGTCATTCTTACTTGAAGAAGTTAATAAAAAGTTATGCAATTTTTATTTTAAAAACTGCTTGGTGTTAACTGAAGATTATTGACAATAAGGATGTGTGAGCTATGAATAACATCTATTTTACATAATCTCAGACAAACCACCAACTCTATTTTCAATAAACTGGACATAGGTGTACATTCAAATGATCTTTTTTTAAACCAATGAATATTGCTGGCGATGAGAGTGGTTTTGGTTTAACACTGCTTTCAGCAATAAGTATTGTTTGTTTGTTTGTTGTTTTACACCACACTCAGCAATATCCCAGTTATATGACAGCAGTCAAAATATTGAGACCGGTCCAGACAGTCCAGTGATTGACATCATGAGCATCGATCTACTCAATTATGATACGATTACATGCAATCAGCCCAAACAGTGTGCCTGATCCCTTGATCCCCAGAGTTGCCTCTTAGACTTCTACTGGTGCCAAGTGTGATATTTAGAAGGAGTAATGTTTTTTAACCCTGATTTCATCATGAAGGACAGGGGTACAAAATGGCCTTCACACATAGCAACCATTTGGGAATAGAACCCAGTTCTGGTGTGATGAGCAACTGAGCCAACTACTGACCCTTTAAGGACAGATTTTTTTTTAAACTTGGTTTATGAATCTGTGGACTTAAAAAAATTGAAATGTGAAAAAAAGTAACTAAATGGAAATCTGTGCTTTGTTCTGCCGACCTGAAATAAGTCAAATTTTAAAAAAAACCACTCATTTACTGTCACTATCAATATAAATATATTATTAAAAATACTATGATTAAAACCTGTTGAAAATGTATCTTGAATTTTAAGATAATATATTAAAACAAACTGCGAGATGAAAATTTTAAAATATGTTTGAAACCTAAATTTTCATCTTTGAACTTTTTTATCCACCGACCTGAATTTTGGAGCCAAAACTCTTTAACTGCCTAAAAAAGGTCTGGTGTAACTATTAGATTAAATGACAGACTTCAAATCAGACTATTCTATAATCAATCATGTCTCTTTCATGAATAAAATAACATGACACAAAAACATTGAAAATATAGAAGTGTCCGGAAGTCATCAATTTGCATGGCAATTAATAAAAAACATATGCAAGTTGTTCTTTCGTAAAAAAAGAAGCAGGAATAATGTTGAAAGATAATGCAATAGTTTTCATATTCCTGCATCACTGAGACAACAAGATGGTAAAGGATGAGACAGGATAAGAGCCATCTTTGGCCATGGGATATGCATAATGTAAAAAATGGGGGAATTCTTTACAAATCATTATGAAAGTAGAATCATATGTTCATATGAATGTGAATTAAGCTTTGTTCCTCTCACCAGCACCAAAGGCATAGGTAGGGCAAAGAAAAGTCTGCTTTTAGAGTATTCCAGGAACAATTTTGCTGGTATTTCAACATCAGAAAGTCTTTGACACATCAGGAGATGTAGACAAAAAAGAACAATGTAAAAATATCATACTGACTCACAGACTTGGTCATACTTAGTTTTCTCAAGATTGAATATCAAACTGAAAATCAAGCATTTCACCCATTTTAGCCATATTAACGCATTTGACCTTGACAAAAGTTGAAACCTCTGCAAGTTTAGAAATGATAAAAGACTGGTATAAGACATTGGAACAAGTCTGATCATCTTCACATCTTTATTCGACGTAATAAGCACCCAGGGCGCTCTCAAAATTTGAAATAGGGGGCTCTTCTTAGAGTAAAATTTTGGAGAAAAAAACCCAGAGTTGAAAGATTGTAAATTTTGTGGTTTATGCTGACAGCCTGAAATGATACAAAATAAAAGTCTGTGTGTATTATACACGACAGATATATTTATCCAGAATTTAATTGCCCATAATTAAGGGTGCATATAACACACGAGTGTGTATAATACGCAAATAAATAAGTCTTGTGTACATTGATTAATCAGAAGGGGTGCTAATTGGGATTGTTCACTTGCCAATATATTAGCAAATATCGCCGTGGGCGCTTATTAGAGCAGGGCGCTTATTACGTTGAATACAGTAATCAGTTTTCCCAAACTTTAAGAAATTGACACTGGCCCCAAAACGGCCCTTCTTATCCCATCTCATCCTCAGTGCTTCAGAATAAAAATCAACAAGCAATGACTACATGTACTCAATGACCTCAGCTGTAAACAAAACAATAAACAAACAACCAATGGACGGAATCGGAAACAAGGAGAAACTGTATGTAAATGTAATACACATATAATCCATATGCAAACTATGTATACACAATGTAGAGGTTATATACACAATATTAAATACCTGGTTGTTACAACAACACTATATCACATGTAGAAATGGACGGATGGCATCTCTTGGTTCCCCCTGCAAACTCCCACAACCCCACTCCAGTAAAATACTGTCATCTCCAGTTGATACTTGTCATCATCTACAGCTGATACTTGTCATCATCTACAGCTGATACTTGTCATCATCTACAGCTGATACTTGTCATCATCTACAGCTGAAACTTGTCATCATATACAGCTGATACACATTATCTTGAACTTGTGGGTGAGCATGAATTTTAGTTTTAACAATATTCAAGCAAATTCACAACAGGAAACAGGAAAAAATGGCAGGGTTAGAACTAAACTCAGACGCTTAATAGCCAAGGTTGAAACAAATCTCCCTTGTAATGATAAAACAATGGGGAAATTGGGAATTTTTTTCTAGCCTGCAGGAATTTGTACTAGCCTGCAGGAATTTGCACTAGCCTGCAGGAATTTGTACTTGCCTGCAGGAACTTGTACAAGCCTTCAGGAATTTGCACTAGCCTGCAGGAATTTGTACTAGCCTGCAGGAATTTGCACTAGCCTTCAGGAATTTGCACTAGCCTGTAGGAATTTGTACTTGCCTGCAGGAATTTGTACTTGCCTGCAGGAATTTGTACTAGCCTGCAGGAATATGTACTAGCCCGCAGGAATTTGTACTAGCCCACAGGAATTTGTACTTGCCTGCAGGAATTTGTACTTGCCTGCAGGAATTTGTACTAGCCCGCAGGAATTAGTACTTGCCTGCAGGAATTGGTACTTGCCTGCAGGAATTTGTACTAGCATTCAGGAATTTGTACTAGCCCGCAGGAATTTGCACTAGCTACGGGCTGGCAGGCTAGTGTCAAGGTCTAACCCTGAAATGGGCTTTGAAAGTACAATGTTGGGAATCAAACCTGGTGTTTGGTGCAACGGGTGAACACAGTAACCAATAAGCTACCTTGCCCCTTATTGTCAAACCGATATCTAGAAAATACTCATTGGTTCTCATATGGAAAACAACATATATGTCAAACCGATATCTAGAAAATACTCATTGGTTCTCATATGGAAAACAACATATCTGTCATTCTAAAAACATGGCTCCTACAAAACTTGAGCCATCAAATTTAAGGTCGGTTCATGGGTTTTTCAAGGCATTGGTTACATTTGGTAAGGCTGAAAGTAAGCCCCAAGTGTCCTTGCAAACACATTCATTTGTACATCAAAGTACATAACTAAAATATTTATTAGATTATCAAAGATTCCACATACCAGTGTTTCAAAACAATACTGAATTACGATTAAATTACACACTAATCTTCTGCTGTGACGAAAAACAGTAGAGTGACCCATAGTTGTCAAATTCCAGCCATTTTCAAGTCATATTGTCAACGTTTAAGGCCTTTTCAAGGCTGAACAGCAAAATATACTGAACAAGACTAGATAAGGGATCATGAATATTTTTAAGGATATCTGTATGAAATTATGTGCTCAGATTTCACTACAAACAAATATCTCCAAAATTAGTCATATCCTTAACTTTGTTAAGTATATGCCCTGTCACTAGAGATATTGTTGATCTTAAATGCCCTAAGTTCAATAGAGGTCCTACAGGTTTCCAGACAACAAGTTTCCACTGTAGATCATAATGACACATTCTTGTCCTTGAAAGGCATTTAGAAGTGAGACACTTTCTTGACAACAAATGCCTTTTTATATGTGTCCATGATGAGGTGTTCATGCATAACATATACAAATAAATAGAGATACAAACAAATAGTTGTGGAATACTTACACACACAATCAATTCTGTAACAATATATATGCGCTTCCAAGCCATGTCATATTCCGTATAAACACTAAGATATGCTATTCCAACAAACACCCCATCATGACCCCAAATAAGGCAGTAAGATTTTCTTGAATCTAAAGTCAGCTTAAAGATTTATCATAATGGTATTGACAAGGACTGGTGAGCATCCATTCATAATTTCGAACACTCCATGGCATCGATAATCTGAACAGCTGGGGCAGGCATTGTTTTTAACTGCTCGAGTCTGATCTTGAGGTCGGAGGTCGTGGAGTGCGGCGGGATACGGAACTACGTGTGTTGGAGTTGCGAGAAGTCCGCCCAGATACGCCGGCACTACTTCTCCCTCTGATCGGCAATGGTGGTTTAGCACTGGTAGGCATCATCCGAGCTGAACTGTGGCCGTCCTGGAAGAAACATGGCCACATAGTCAGTGTACAAAATACAACAGGCAATCGACAGGACCTTGTGCATCAAAGATTTTAGTACTATGACTATCTCACTAACTTCCATATCTTAACATAGACTTTTGATAGCCTAACCAACTCTAATACCTTAACATAAACTTATGATAGTTGTAGCACTGAGATCGCTCTGGGCAACAAGCCCCTGGCAAGCAAATTCTAATCTCACGTATTCCCCACTCAATAATTTGCTACTACAACGCTGTTGTTTTACCAAACATCTTGCTCCACAATCCATTAATACTAGTTACTGCAGAACCATATCCTGGCAAAATATATATCTACAATTTACAATTCATTTCTCCACATGTTTTCTTTTCAAGCAAACCACCTTACAAGACACTATATCAGTGTCGTTATTACAGGAATGTTGAGTGGAATTGTTTAATGCTCCAGTCGGCAATATTACAGCTAAATCACAGCTAAATCTGATTGATAGTACTATCTTTGATCCACACCCCCGGGGCAACACAGACACAGAATCAACAAGTACACATTACAAGGTTTAATAATTACTTGGTTTACAGATCTTTCCTCAAAACAACAGCTAATAATTGTAAAATCATATATTTTTATTGTTTGTTTTTTTTAAAGTATGGACTGAATCTAAAACATGATGAAATAAAACACAACACATGCATGTTAGAAAGTTCCCTTGAACAAGTCTTAGAGTTACCTCCCTTCCCCAATCAATCTTTCTAGTGAGTGAGTGAGTATGGTTTTACGCCGCTTTTAGCAATATTCCAGCAATATCACGGCGGGGGACACCAGAAATGGGCTTCACACATTGTACCCATGTTGGGAATCGAACCCGGGTCTTCGGCGTGACTAGCGAACGCTTAAACACTAGGCTACCCGACTGCCCCCAATCTTTCTAGTATATTCATGAAATGTGTTAACAGACTCAGAGAAATTAGGGAAATTTGGGTCTGCAGATCTGTGAACCAAGTAATGAAAGTAAATTCTAACAATTCAATTCCCGCTGTCATCAGTTAGTGAGTGAGTTGGGTTTTATGTCTCTGTATTTAAACAGTCAGTTTTTCCCTTCACACAGCTACCAACTTTCCCAAATTACAGTCAGTATTTTGCTATGATCTTCCAAAGCCTGATGATATTAATTTCCATTGACCAGGTACAACACAATAAATAGATTTCATACCAGTTGATAAGCAAGACAGGTTCACAGCAGACGTAGTATTGCTAAATAATTACCCTCTGTTTACCGGTGTCTATGAAAATTTAGTCCTTGCTATTTCGGCCCACCCACACCTTAGTTTGGTATGTTATTTGTAGGAATTAAGAAAGAAATCATACTTTTGTACTTCAGTAATTTAGTTGCTAATTCAGAACAAATACGAAATATTTGGGTCAGTTAGCAGCTGTGCCCTTAATTCAACATTTGACTGAGTCTTTAGTGATTCTCAACATCAAATATTTTCGTATGGTAGAAATATAAACATTGCTCAACATGAATAGTTGCAAGCTTGCTGATACAGCGTAAAGCAGTACTCACTCACTCACCCGTGACTCTGACCAGTATTTCAGGTATACACAGCATGTCAGCTGACTGTGGGTGGAGGGCCGAAAGTGAAGTAGTCAACCATGCTAATAGTGAGTGAGTGAGTGAGTTGCGTTTTAAACGCCCATTTAACATTATTACAGTTATATCACGGCGTGTCAGCTTAATGTGGGAGGAAAGCCCCAAGTGATGCAGGTCTCAGACGTTTACCACTTTAATGAAACCCATGAACATGGGTATGGTGCTGACAAACCTAGAAACATAATTGGGGCGAACTGGGATTTGAACCCACAATCATAGGTGTCTGGCATGCCCAAGGGACGCAATTCACTGCACCTTAGATGACTGGGCCACCCATGCCCCCAACGATGCTAATAAACCAAGGTTGGTTGGTTGGTTTGTTTGTTGTTTTACACCACACTCAGCAATATTCCAACTATATGACGGCGGTCTGTAAATAATCGAGTCTGGACAAGACAATCCAGTGATTACATCATGAGCATCGATCCACGCAATTGGGATCGATGACATGCATCAACCAAGTCAGCGAGCCTGACCACCTGATCCCGTTAGTCGCCTCTTACGACAAGCAAAGTCGCCTTTTACGGCAAGCATGGGTTGCTGAAGACCTATTTTACCCCGGATCTTCACGGGTCAATGATCAGAACTGAGACCAACTCCAGATTCAAACCCATGATCGTCAGACCCTGGCATGACCAAGGGACACAAACCCATCGATCGATGCGCCAGCCCCTTCAGCTGACAAGCCTGCAATACTGGGGACAGGAATCTCCACACGACAAATTCAGTGGGACTCAAACGATCATAAAGCCCCTCAGATGCTGTACGTATGATATTCCCCCTTCCACAACATCATTGAATTGTTAGTTTGAATACATCTGACATTTAGTACCGTATCCTTGCATGTTGCTATAGTAACAGCCTGTGGGGAAGGATCATCTGAAGCAGGCTATTGTTAGTTGCACAACCAATCACCATCTCATAGGCAATGTTACATTACAGAATGCTGAAGCATGCCAAAACAGAGGTGGATCCAGACCTTTTGAAAAATGGCGACACACACTATACACAAAGTTGAACAAACACACAAGAAGGTTGACATGTCAGATGTCTGAAAAAAAATGGGGGCCTCACATCCCCCCCCCCCCCTCCTCTGGATCCACCAGTGCCGAAGTTACACAAACATCAAGCAGGCAAGCCTGAATTAATCCAGGTTAAAACGTACTAGAATTTGATAGTTTGGAATTTGCATCTGTATAAGCAAAGATTTAGTCATACGATGATAAACACAGTGATATAAACTAGTAAACATAATAACGGTATATCACTTATAAGGATTAGTCATCCCACCCGACTCACGAACAAACACCAAACTTCACATCATCTTATTATCCCCTACAAATAGAGAATCTCAGCCGAGTGTCCTTTGATATCTAATATATCAACACGAGTCAATATGTCTCATATCAAGCGACATGAAGGGTAGAACATGTTTATCATCCAAAATCAACATTTGTCTATAAAAGTTTATAACTCCCCAGCATCCCTGTGACTTCTAAACTTTTATAGACTCGTGCTGACATATTTCATATAAAAAGACACTTGAGTGAGATACTCTATGCACAACACATAAGGCATTTTTCTTAATGATGAAATAATAGCATAACGCTCAAATACAACTTAAAAAAATCTTCTCAGAATGGACAATTGCCTCAGGTTGTCATTGTTTGGGAGTGAGTGAGTCTGGTTTTACACCCCTTTTAGCAATATTCCAGCAATATCACGGCGGGGGACACCAGAAATGGGCTTCACACATTGTACCCATGTCTGGAATCGAACCCGGGTCTTCGGCGTGACGAGCAAACGCTTTAACCACTAGGCTACCCGACCGCCCCTGTTATTGTTTGGACACTTGGTGAAAACTTTACAAACATGCATAACATGTCAGTAGACAAAATAAAACATTCTCCAGTATGGATTCATCTACAAGAAAGCTGCTGGATGAAACGTAAGCACATGCTACATATATACTAGGACTTCATGATGGCTAAATGTGTACACTACCAACCACTATACATGTATACAATATACAGACACCATGTGCTGAGTGTATCACGAATACGGGTGTACTAGAGATATCTCTACCATCATCATCATCATCAAAATAATAATAATAATAGTGCCATGGTACAATAGCTCACCAGCTTATGAAGTGAACGGTTAAATGTCAACAAAGAAAACCACTTAAACGTTGTCAGCATTGATATTTTAAAAAAACAACATTATAGGACTTTCGTCTTTTCTTTGAAACACAAACTAAAATCATAATGATTCAAACAAAATAGGATTGTAAGAGAATTTAGGAGAGTGGTCCAAAAGCAGAGGTCAAATCAAGGTCAAAGCTTAAAATATTGCAAAAAAACAGAAAAGCAGAAAAATAACAGTGTTCATTTCCAATACTAACTAAACAAAAATGATTAAATTTCATTACATTCTGAACAAAAAAAGACTAAGTAATGATCACTAACATTTTTTTTGTTCTGACAGTTCACATTGGATTTTCAATATGGCTGACGATACCTGACACTGGACAACATGGCCACAACAACACTTCAGTCAGGTGACCTAACCGAAACCTACAACACTATTGTGCAAAGTGAAACAATTTCAATTGACCTCTAAAAACAAATTTAAGATTAACATGAAGATGTTTTTGCACCGAGGAAATAGAAAGTGATTTAAAAAGTTTGTTCTTTGCTTTGGTGTTGCTATTTATAAAATAAGCTGTGTACAAGATTGAAACAAAAACAAACAAAAACTTAAAATGGTGGTGAGGTTTACCTTTCAGACCCTAAATCTATTATGCCATATGGTTTTAAGTATTATCTGAGAACAATTTAGAATTGAAATCAGGCATTTAGCATAAGGGGGCTTCGTCACGTTCAAGATGATTGCACTTATACAGCAACGTGCATGCACAGTAAGTGTGTGCTTGTTCTAGTCCGGACAAATGCCAGTTTTATAGTGCTAGCCATTTGATATACAATGGCGCAGTTTAACATGGATACTCCACTCACAGTACACTGACTCAAGCCGACAATGCTTGTTTTTTTATCCACATAATGCCAGCTCTCTAACACCTCAATTGAACATTTTGATTCTAAATATACAATACCCATAACAATATCAGCGGTAGAAACTAACAGTTTTAGCCCACTGGTCCTTATAATGATAACATACAGCAAAACCCTTAAAAATGGTATATTTCTACTAGTCCTTATGATACCTTCACTATTGGGCAGTTTGGCAAGGACTACAGGACTAGTTCCAATTTTTAATGCTGAATATATTGGTGTGACCTTCAGTGTACAGTCGGGAAAGGTCGCATATGTTTGTTTTCGAGATACGGAAATCAGATATGCTTGTCTGAAGGCTTCACTCACTCACACCGAAAATTAAGAAGCTGAGCAAAACCTGACAAGACCATCTATGGAGGATACCTTCACACACAGAGGTGTCGTATCAGAGTAAATGACTTGATTTTAATGAGATTGAGTCATAAGCTACTGGACCAAAATAATTTTACTAGATTCAGGCTTTAAACATAAAAACTGTTTCTGAATTATCATGTAGCTATTTAATCAAAAGGTGACGAAGAGTATATTTGCTTTCTCAGTGAGCGAAGTGGCTAATGCAAAATGGCTGACATTGGATTTGACCAACTGCTCATGTACTGGACTAATCATTACTGTTCCAACATGTCCTATATATCCATACTTCATCCATACTCATACACGGACACCAAATGTAACTCTCCATACTTAGACAGCATTAGATCTTTCAAAGATCAAATAATTCTGATTCCAGTATTACATCACAGCTTGGCTGGGGGGAAATCCAAATGTAACATCATTTGTTTATTGCTACCACTTAGCAGAAAACCATGAGTACTGTGCTGACAAACCAAATCTAGATTTGAGCTTATAACAAGCAAATCCTTCTCCGGGTAAGGGAGGCAACTCTGCACACACCTTCTGACTCTACTTATAACTAACTTGACCACAAAGATAAACATTCTTAGAGATAATGAAGCCCAAACTATCCAAAATTCATTTCATGCATTGACAGAATCTGAAATGTCAGATCACCAGAAGAAAACAAATACCGTATTCGACGTAATAAGCGCCCAGGGCGCTCTCAAAATTAGAAATAGGGGGCTCTTATCAGAATATTATTTTGGTGGAAAAAAAACAGAGTTGAACTATAAATATTGTGGTTTATGCTGACGGTCTGAGCTGTTTATATACGACAGATATATTTTTCAAGAATTTAATTGCCCATAATTAAGGGTGCATATAACACATGAGTGCGTATTATACACAAATAAATAAGTCTTGTAGTGTACATTGATCAATCGGAAGGGATGCTAATTGGGATTGTTCACTTGCCCATATATTAGCAAATATCGCCGTGGGCGCTTATTAGAGCGGGGCGCTTATTACGTTGAATACGTTAGATTTAATTATAGTGGTGTCCTTTTTTGACATTCCAGTATTTCAAGGGCGTTTCAAGCACCATCAAAGTATGCTGTTGTACTGTTCCTTTCAATAACTACACAAGACACAAGACGTCCCCACAAGTTCCACTCTTTCCAAGAATCATTTCTCTTTGACCTCACACAATTCATTCCCAGCCCCGAAATGTACACAGACTAGCTTACTGCAGACAGATTGACAGTGCATGACACAAAGACGCTGCTGTCACTACACGGAGACCCTGTGCTGGTCGGATGGAGACCGGGTCCGGAAGCTGATATACATGCGATACATAAGGACAAGACAGCTCAGCTGCATCAAACATAATACATATAAAGACGCATGGGACAGTACATCAGAAACTTGGCAGAAAAAGAAAAAGAGCTTTCAGAATGACTATTTGTGGTGCACCATATTTATTCTATAATTAATACAACCCTTCTGAATATATAAATATATTGTATGATGAAATACTGTGCTTATCTGAAAAAATACAATTGACATATCACTTAAGTGCCATAACCCTTACATGCCGGAACAACTACTTTCAGTGTGCTTCAATGACGCAATGGTTTTTAGAGTAACAGGGTTTTTTGGTAATAAATATAACATCTGTGACCCAGCAGGCATAAAGGGACTAGGGTGCTAGGATACAATTGTGCCACGACGTCATAAAGACAATAACGTCAACTAACTTCAGTGAAGAACGGTATGTATGATGTCATGTATCTTTGTAATAAATATAAATTGAAGCTTGTGAATTGTAAATTTGTGTTCCGAAGATTCTGTAGTTTTAAAATGTAATGAAAAATCAAAATATGATTTTTCACCCATGAGGTCCCTATATGATGGATGGTCACATTTGTTCTTTCTTGTCAAATAACATGTTTAACATGATCATCAGACCTGGCACTATTAAAAAGCTTTAGAAAACAGAATGTTATGTTTTTCCACATTCCTGATTTGAGTCAGCAGGTCTGTAAACCAAGTAACAAATATAACACCCTACCACTAAGAATATGAAGTCCCATACTTTAACAAAGCCTTACAATGGTCAAAGCAGTACACTCCAAAACAAGTGGTCCCCAGATTTATAGTTTCAAGACATGAACATTTTGCAAAATACCTACATGTATGAAAACCACAAAAATCATTCTGAAAGAGTGTCTTTAAAAAAAATAATAAACTGTGTACTGTATGCATATGTTCCCAAAATAAACTTTAAATCAAACAAAAACAATCCAACAGAATAACTTCATGTGAAATGCACATGCATATTTGTTATCAATAAACTGTCTCCTGACCAAAACAATGTTTCGTTAACACATATCTTTTCAAAACCATGGTAACACAATTTTGGTAAAAAACAAATGCATTATCAATATGTATGGGCATTCACAGCCAAACACTGTTAGTCCTACAGGTATATATGTTTGATGCCAGCTGGACGCTGTCGGTCAGGCTAACCAAGCTGACCACCAGAAAGATACAGAGAGAGCCTGACATGGTCAGACACAATGCAAGTTTACATGCGAGTCGTCAGACAACCTAGCACAGCTTACCGCTTGCACCCTCGTCACAGGGGGGACTAAACTGCTGAAAAAACACCACCGGTTAGCTCATCGGAACAATGACGATGAATTATTAGACAAGAAACATTTGATGATATATTGTGTCCTAGGTTTGGACAGCTTAATAAATTCATAAATCTTTGCACACATTGAGCTGCAAATAGACTGGTTACTTGAAGTCCTTGCACTGCATCACTTTTATGATTCATGACAGGTTTGTGCCCCATCATTATTATGGAACTATATGTGAGTGAGTATGGTTTTACGCCGCTTTTAGCAATATTCCAGCAATATCACGGCGGGGGACACCAGAAATGGGCTCCACACATTGTACCCATTTCGGGAATCGAACCCAGGTCTTCGGCGTGACGAGCGAACGCTTAAACCACTAGGCTACCCGACCGCCCTGGAACTATATGTAGTAAACAGACATTGGTCTTTACCGTTTGTTAAACCCAATATAGTACAATTTGTTAATAAATTACATTCTGGGTTTAGGTTTTCAAACAGAAGTTTAACGGGGATGATGTGACAGTCTCGGTACACATGTATCATCAAATTTTCCTTCCCTTATCAGTTGCTTCTAACAAGCGATAACAAATATGGCAGCCTCATGTCTCTGGATTTTATCTCCTTATAAGCCGAAGCATCTACAGAAATGAGCCTGTTAGAGACAATGATTCATAGCATATGTTCAAAAACAGATCATGATGAAGATGATACACTTTGATCCTCATATTATATAAAAAATTGAAAACATTTTTTAAATTTTTCACCCTTTCTTAAAAATCTTAAAATTTACATAAAGAGTAAATATGATTATGTTCCAAGATAAATCAACAGGGATACTACGGATACAAACATTAGTACCAACCTGTGGGACTGATTGAGAGAGTTGTCTCCCCTGAGCGGCAGAGCTGTATCGGCCCCCTGACCTGAAGGCTTGAGGGGGAGGTATTAATGGGCCGACTTGACCCTCTTCTGGAATACTGGGCTGCTGCAGTTGGTTGTCTCCCCCTGCCTCAGTGTACTGCGTCTCCTCTTCTTCCATTGGCTGTAGCCTCTGACCGGGCCGAGCTGACCGAGCTGGAGTGTCCTTCATCGGCAACGTATGACCATTGATGACCACGCCCTTACTGTCTTCAGTCTCATCACTGTACCTGCAGTAACCAATACGCATGTTTCGCACAGTTTTTCCAATGGGCCTACAGTTTTTCCAATATGCCTACAGTTTTTCCAATGGGCCTACAGTTTTTCCAATAGGCCTACAGTTTTTCCAATGGGCCTACAGTTTTTCCACTAGGCCTACAGTTTTTCCAATGGGCCTACAGTTTTTCCAATGGGCCTACAGTTTTTCCACTGGGCCTACAGTTTTTCCACTGGGCCTACAGTTTTTCCAATGGGCCTACAGTTTTTCCACTGGGCCTACAGTGTTTCCAATGGGCCTACATGTGCTCGCCCTTAAGGCTCTCAGTTTTCTCTGCTGAGTACAGACACTGGTCTTCAGCAAATATTGGAAAAACATAAAAACATCTGAATTCATGTCAACATAGTGTTAATGTTATGGATTTGTATGGATAATCAGGCCATTGAATGCACTGTAAATGGTTACTATGTCAATAATATATTCCCAACACTCCTATCAAACCACAGGTATGCTCACCTGGAGTCGTGATGTTGCGGAAGTCCTTTAGACGCCCTGGGGGCCGACGGTGCCGCCGACCTCACCCTCTCTGGTTGCTGAGGGAAGGGGTGGAGGGGGGCAGCAAACCCCCTGGGTGGGGGGATGTCGAGGGGGTTCTGCAGGTTCTGAACCTCGGGGGGCGACTTGGTGTCTTGTTCCCGTTCTTTGTCTCGATCCCGCTTCTTCTTTTTCTTCTTCTTCTCGAGTTTGTCGAGTCGACTGAGTGATGGCACTTTCGGCGCGTTTGGAAGAGGAGTGAGCATTGGAGGCGGAGGGATCCTGCGGCCTTCTAGCACGCCTGTGGAGAGGTACCAGAAAATGAGTCAGTGCTTGCTGTTGTTTTCAAACAATCTAGTCATGATTCATTTGTTAAATGCCACACTCATCAATCTTCCAGTTACATGACGGTGGCTTGTAAATAATCAGACTGGACCAGACAATCCAGTGATTGATATTGTGAGCAACGATCCATGCTGACGAGGTACAAGGACACGCTATCAACCAAGTCACCAAGCCCCCAACCGACCCATCTGGTCACCTCTTACGACCATCATAGGTCATGATCAACGTAGACACGTCATCGGCACACAATGACATACAACCAACCAACACGTAGATCCAATCACATTTACACATTTTTCAACCAATCATAATGCAGCAATAACTTCCAATTCATAGGAATAATTTCATCTGGACCAGAAAAAACAGTGATTGACATCATGAACTTTGATCCACGCAAATGGGATAGATGACATGCAATCAACCATTAGTTTCCAAGTCTGATCACCCAATCCATTTACTCGTATTTCACAACAAGCATAGGTTGCTGGGGGCCTACATTCTTACCTGGGATCTGATGAAACCTATAACAGGTGAGGTAAAATGGGGTTTAACGTCACGTCCAAGATTATTGCACTCATATAGCGACGTGCCTGTACGTTTGTGTGTTTGTGTGGCTGCTTGTACTAGTCTGGACTGACGCCAATTTATAGTGCTAGCTCACTGAGATACCATGCCACAGTTTAACATGAACACCCCACTCAGACACAGTATACTGACTCCGAGCCGACCAGTCCTTGTTTTAGCCCCTTAATGGGTAACAACAAGTACCATCTTTTGACGTCTTTTGGGATGACGCGGCCGGGGATCGAACCCCGGACCTTCCGCTCTCCGGGCGGACACTCTACCACAAGACCACGGAGTTGGTTTAAACCTATAACAGCCCTACCTGGAGGTTTGGTCTGCCCGCCCGACCCCGGTCTGTTGCCCTGGTCCGGACTCAGGGGCTTCTTCATCGATGGTCCTTGTTCGACTGACTGTCCCGACCCGCTGGACAGAGGGGGAGGGCTGGCGACCTGGTCACGTGAGGATGGTCCAGACCCTGGACGAGGAGCAGGTGCTTCCCTAGGGGCGGGGCGTGGGGGGAGGGGCTGCTGCTGCCGGATCATGTGAGGTCTCTGAGGGGTGATGTTGGGAGGAGAGGGGGCAGGCCCTGTCCGCCCTGTGCGGTAGGCAGGGGAGAAGCCCTGCGGGGCGGAGAACTTCTGTGAGTTTTGGAAGCGCTGCCCTGGGGGTGGGTCTATCATGCTGGTGGTGGTGGTGGAGCCCTCCTCCAGGACCTCGTACTGCGACGGCTCCTGCTGCTGTTGGGGATGACTGTTGTGTTGTAGCTCCTGTGTCAGCAACATATAACATTGAGTGAGTGAGTGAGTTTGGTTTTACGCCGCTTTTCGCAATATTCCAGCAATATCACGGCTGGGGACACCAGAAATGGGCTTCAAACATTGTACCCATTTCAGGATTCGAACCCAGGTCTTCGGCGTGATGAGCGAACGCTTTAACCACTAGGCTACCCGACCGCCCCAGATACAACATTGAATTCACTGAGGTTATAGGATTCTCAGGTCAGCAGAATACAACATTTGTGGCCAACCATGACATAAGGGACCTCATGGGTGAAAAATCACATTCTGACTTTCCATTATATTTCAAAACTGCAGCATCTTCGGAACACAAAAATACAATTCACAAATTAGATACTTTATGTACAGTTCAGACACATGGCAATCTTCACTGAAGTAGGTTGACGTCAAATGTCTTTATGACGTCACAGCACAATTGTATCCTAGCAACCATAAGGTCCCTTTTCTCCTGGTGGGTCACATTTGTTCTTTAGGATTTTCAGTCTCGTTTGTTTGTTTGTTGTTTAACGCTGCACTCAGCAATATTCCAGCTGCATCACAGCGGTCTGTAAATAACCGAGTCTGGACCAGACAATCCAGTGACTGACATCATGAGCATCGATCAACGCTATTGGGACAGCGATAGAAATTGGCACTAGTCCTACAGTCCTTTCCTAACTGCCGAATAATTCAGGTATCATTATGAGGGCTAGTGGACTAAAAATGCTAGTTTCTAACCCCGTTGGGATACGATGACATGCATCAACCAAGTCACCGAGCCTAACCACCCAATCATTAGTCTCCTCTTACGACAACCATAGTCACCTCTTATGACAAGCATGGGTTGCTGAGGACCTATTCTAACCCAGATCTTCACGGGTCTTTCACAGTCTTAGATATTAGGGTGGGGAGGCCTATGGTCTTTGAAGTTAATCTGGTCAGTATGGACCCCAAAAATATCGAAGTTTTACATTATGGTATTGAACACTGTTCTTGTGTAAGGGAAGTGTATAAACTGTCAGTGTTAACTACCAGACCAAGATGTTACCTTAACAAAGATTTTTTTTTTTTCAGAAATATTATCAGGACTAGGGACAATATTCTTTCATTTTTAGGATCATGCAGTCAAAAATAATTACTTGCACAAGCCAACCTCTTATTTCTAATGGAAAGTTATGGCTGTCTCCCCACATTCCAATTTGCCAAATACAGATTGTGATCAGTGAGCCTTGACCACCACTCACCCCTACAGCCAAGACAAGGGAAGCAACTCTGCACAGCGAATGGCAGAGCCTGAGCCAGCTCGGCCACCAGAGCCACAGCTTTATTTCATAAAGAATCAAAAGAATTTACTGACACTGTCATTTCCCAAAAGATGCAGCAACACTCACTTGAGGCTGGGAAAAAGATGAAGGCGGTGGGGGCCGTGGCTGGGTGTGTCTTGGCGGGGGGCGGGGCTGGATGGTCTGAGGGCGGGGGGCAGGAGCAGGTCGAGCCCTAGGTTGGGGTCGGTCCTCATCATCATCGATGTCCGAGACATCCATCCCCCCAACACTCACACCATCAACATCCTCCTCTCCCTCCACGTGACCATCTGCAACAGTGTTGACATCCACATTCGTTTGTTTGTTTGTTTCTTTGATGTTTAACGTCACACTTAGTAATATTACAGCCAAGACAACAGTTTGTAAATAATCAAGTCTGGTCAAGACAATCCAGTGATTGACATCATGAGTATCAATCTACGCATTTGGGATATGATGACATGCATCAACCTAGTGAAAGATATTCACAAAGTTAGCAGATGGATCATAAATATCAGGCCTCATAGTTGTGACTAAATCAGTCGCCAATGCGACCTACATTTCAATTTGTCTACTGTCTAAAATTCAGAGGTGGTCAAATGACTACCTTCAAAAATATCTTGTGGCGACTAAATTCTATTGCTACACATATGTAGACACAAATATAAACATGTCTGCTACTGATTGTACTTGTAAATAATTCCTCCTAAAGTCAACAATGGACCGAAATGCATAAATATTAATGTAATTAGTATTTTAATTTAGTTGATAGTTTATTGGATAAGCAAGGATATACCTATATCATCTAGTACCATAAATTGTTCGAGTCACAAATAACAAAACTAAAGTACAGTTTCCACTGATATACAATTCCAAGACTAGTGCTATGACTTGTACATATAATAATTATTTGATAAAAGATCATTTCAAATGCTTTTTGCTACCTACAATATTGGCTTGACTTCTTGATTTTACCACTGGCTACCTGGAAAAAAATACTTGTAGCTACTTTAAGGCCTGAGTATTCTAGAAACACACTGAAACATTGTTTATAAGTGCCCTATGGCATACTTGAAAAAATAAGCATTTCATTGTCGATGACTGACCATGTTCATCTGTGATCATGTCCGTCTCCTCTCGGCCGTTAGCGTAGAAAGCTATGTTAGCTGTCCTCTTGGTGTCCACGCTCACCTGGAACAAGGGAGGTAACCACAATAACAATTGCCCATATCATGTATATATTTATATATATCCTTCCTTTCCTGTTTAGGACTAGAAGAGTGATGTGGACTTTACCAGTGTTTCAGTCATATATCAGCAGACAGTTTTTAAGGAATGAGAAAAATCACCAAATGACCCATTCTTGACAGTATAAAAAAAGAATAATAAAAAAGTTCTGTATGAAGCATAAATAAATATATTATTCCCCAGTAAAGAGATCGCCTGTTTAATAAACATACAGCTGTATTACACATTGTGAGTGAGTGAGTGAGTGAGAGAGTGAGAGAGTGAGTGAGTTTCATAGGTTTCTGGCGTGCCAAAGGGACGCAACTCTGCACAGCAAATTGCGGCGCCTTTGACGACTTGGCCACCCGTGCCCCCATTGCACATACACTTGTATTACAAATTGAGTAATACCAAAGCACATGCTTATGTACTGCGGGAACAAGTTTCACTAACAAATATTAAAAACTCCCAACAGCCAGAACTTTTTTTCAATATCAAATTAAGTTTCATAAGAACGTGAGTTCTTCTATGAAACTACATTGTGAAAGATTGTATATTCTTCAGCTAACATTCACACTTCCCCTTCTCACCATCAACAGAGGCATTAGACTATACAAGGGAGGTAACTCTGGGCACCATCTGTGCAGCAGCAGCCACAACCCTGTCATCTCTCCATCAATACATACTTCAATGCGTTCCTTCTTCCTCTCGTTCCCTGCACTGCTGATGACTCGGTCTCCATTGACGTCCGTCTTGTCGCGGCCTTCTGGTGTAGACAGGCTGTTGGCTCGCCGTGACAGCAGTGGCCTTGATGTTCTTGGACGTTTCGGTGGATGAGGTGGCGTCACTGGAGTTGTGTCCCCTGACTTGCCCGGCCAGTGCTGGAAACATGGAAATTCAAATTAAGGATATTTTGTTGTTACAAGAATAATTCTTAGTGACACTATGGCTTTTCTCCATGTGCAAATTACTCCATGTGCAGATTACTGTGTGTGTGTGTGTGTGTGTGTGTGTGTGTGTGTGTGTGTGTGTGTGTGTGTGTGTGTGTGTGTGTGTGTGTGTGTGTGTGTGTGTGTGAATGTATCTGTGTGAATGTGTGCGTGTTCCATGTAGTGCAACGACAGTCGTAAGTGTATGTTGAAGTATGGGAGTTACAAAAACTGTGCGTGCATGCATGTTGCACGTGCGTGTGCTGTGCGTGTGCACTCCGAGCTAACCACTCCTTGTTTTATCCCCTTCATCTCATGCACCAGGCAAGTACCATTCTTTAACGTCTTCTGGTATGACACAGCCAAGGATTGAGCCAATGACCTTTCCGCTCTCTGGGCAGACGTTCTATCCACAAGGCCACAGAGGTGCTTCCATTCAGTCTACTCACCTTCATAGTGAAGTCCTCGCTCTGATTCACGTCGCCATTCATGATGTGTAGACTGTCAATCAGACCCATTCCTGGCACCATGGGGGAGGTGGGGTTGGAAGCAATCCGTTGTCGCTGATGCGACATGATTATCAGCTGGCAGTAGTGGAGCTGGCGGTTGCGGGCGTAGTCCCAGGCGGTGGCGTTGAAGCTGTCCACCACAGTCAGGTCAACTGTGGAGTACATACATGATCAAGGAAGGTTTCAGGGTGTATATGGGATTCAAATTCAAGTGAATTCTGCAGAGGAGGGGTGCTGTTTAAAACATAGTTGTTTGTCTAATGGGGATGAAGGAGTGTGGAAACTATGATCACACATAATCAGAAATGTTACAGCTAATTGCAATAACCTGATATTGATCCAGGCTGGACCAGACAAACAGGTTATCAAAAGTGTGAGCATGGATATACAAATGACACACAGTCAGATGAGCTGTTAGCTATGAACTGTTAATTTTGAGCTGCTTTAAGCAATTAGCTCTGAGCTGCCATGATTGTTAGCTGTGAGCTGCTATGATCTGTTAGCTATTAGCTACTACGATCTCTCCGCTATGAGCTACTATGATCAGTTAGCTACGAGCTGTAAGCTATGAGCTGCTAGCCTTCCTTGGTGTTCAGTCTCAATTTCTCCCTGTTCAGCATCCATTGTGATCACTTCGTCCCCTCTCACAACAGGAATAGGTATTTCAGGCCTATTAGTTCTGTCTTACAATTACTAAAACTAGTACAAGGGCTATTTCCCTGTTCCTGAAGCAAGTTCATGCTACATCTATTATCATTTTAAGTCATAATATGGGGGAATAATCATCTTAGCCCTAATATCGCTTTCCAAAGTAGACACAATTTATGGATAACAACTTAGAACTTTATTTTACTGTAAAAGGTGATAGACCCTTATACTGTTATTAAGCAAGGCGATGTTTCGGTATAGATCCTTATACTGTTGTCAAGCAAGGCCTTGGCATAAGGATCTATACCAAAACGTTGCCTTTACAGTAAAATACAGAAGTTGTTATCCATAAATTGTGTCTACTTTGCAATCCGTCACCTTCTAAGAAATGCCTATGAAACAAAACTAATATTGCTTTGTCGAACACGGCCTGGGTTTTATTTGGACGTACCTCCTTGTTCCAGAAGGAAGTTGACGATCTCCCCGTGCCCACGTATCGTGGCGAGATGGAGAGCGGTCCGCCCCTGAGCATCAGTATCATGGATACAGATGCGCCCCGCTATCTCCATGATCAGCTTGGCTGCCAACAGTGACCCTGAAACACAATGAACCAGCCTGTAAACCAGCCCCTTGCATGACACCCAGGAGTGAGTGAGTGAGTTGGGTTTAACACCGCTTTTAACAGTATTCCAGTTATATCACGGCGTGTCAGCTTAATGTGGGAGGAAAGCCCGAAGTGATGCAGGTCTCAGGCGTTTACCACTTCGGTGAAACCCACGGGCACGGGTATGGTGCTGACAAACCTAGAAACATAATCTGGGCGAACCGAGATTCGAAACCACAATCATTGGTTTCTGGCGTGCCAAAGGCACGCAACTCTGCACAGCAAATTGCGGCGCCTTAAACGACTGGGCCACCCATGGCCCCTATGACAACCAGGAAGAGGGAGGAGTGGATTTAACACCACCTCCATCTGTACTTCAGTTGTATCACAGCTTGTTAGCTGATGGTGAGGGACGCCTGATGTAGGTCTGTGTACCAACATTACAAAGCAGTAAATTTAAGGATTATTTTTTTCGTTTAAAAAGTGTTTTTTAACAACACACTCAGCAATATACCAGCTATATGACAGGGGTCTGTAAATAATCAAGTCTTGGTCAAACAACCCAGTGATTTACATCATCAGCATCGATCTATGAAATTGGGACATGATGACACGCATCAACCAAGTCAGCGAGCCTGACCACCCGATGCCATTTGTCACCTCTTACGACAAGCATAGTTGCTGAAGACTAACCCTAACCCAGATCTTCACTGGCCACATCTAATATTCACGCTGACACTAGATGTTGGAGTGAGTGAGTATGGTTTGATGCTGCTTTTAGCAATATTCCAGCAATATCACAGCGGGGGACACCAGAAATGGGCTTCACACATTGTACCCATGTCGGGAATCGAACCTGGGTCATCGACGTGACGATCGAACGCTTTAACCACTAGGCTACCCAACCGCCCCCAATAGATGTTGGACTCTTCTGCCACATTGTCAACAATTAAGCACGGGTGGGGGGTGGTGGGGAAGTAACTCACCCATCTCGGCAGCGAGAAGTAAGACCGTCTTGCCATCATCATCCTTGATCGCTGCAGTGTCTGCAGTTATTAATGTCTGAAACAGATCAAATCCAAACCTTAAGTAATCATATTTTCCAGAAAATCGTCAACATCATCCTTTCAAACATTTAGACGGGTAATTTCAGGACTTTTACAAAAAAGGTCTAAACACTGAAACATTCTTAATGGAAAATATATTAGTATTACTTCTTCGACATGAAAGTCATTCCAACTATAAGAAACATCTATTACAATCATCATCATTACTAACAACAATCTCATATAAACAGTGATTCATTAACATCACTGTTACAATTAACCCATCATCCACTACAAACATCATTTTTTTTTTTGCTTGTTGATTTACGCCGCACTCAGCAATATTCCAGCCATATGTCAGAAGTCTGTAAATAATCGAGTTTGGACCAGACAATCCAGTGATCGATTCTGTGAACGATTCACACTGTCAGGGTACGATGACACATCATCAACCAGGTCACTGAGCCTGACCAGTGACCAGTGACCAGTGACCACTGATCCATTTGGTTGCCTCTAATGAGAAGCATAGGTTGCAGGGACCAATTGTAACACAGGGGGTCCCTCATCATCATCATCAGCAGCAGCAGCAGCAGCAACAGCAGCAGCAGAAATCATACCCACCTGTAGACACTCCAGCGGTTCTGTCCGTCTCACGGCCCAGTGCATCCATGTGCGGCCATTAGCGTCTCTTTCTATCCCATCTGGCTCCTCGATGTGAGAGTTATCGGCCCTGCTCAGCAGTTCGAAGTGCTCGATGTGATCCATGCGACACGCCCACATGGCTGGGGACAGTCCGTCCTTGTCCCGGATACCGGGGTCCGCATTGTGCTCCAGCAGCAGCTGCAACATGGACATCATTTCAACAATCAGATCTGCAGCATGGGGACAGATACAGGGATGCCATTGGGTGAGGTGAGGGAGGTGCATTTAGGTGAGGTGAAATGGGGTTTAACGTCGCCTTGATTGCAATTATATAGCTCTGTCTCTGCTCTGTGTGTGTGTGTGTGTGTGTGTGTGTGTGTGCGTGTGCATGCGTGCGTGCGTGCGTGCGTGCGTGCGTGTGTATGGTTGTGAATGTGTGCATTCGTGTATGTGTGCATGTGTGTGTGGTTGTGTGGTTGTGTGTGTGCGTGTGTGCTTGTGCGTGTGTGCTTGCGTGTGTGTGCATGTGTGCGTGTTTGCGTGTGTGTGTGTGGCTGCTTGTACTAGTCCAAACTAATGTTTATAGTGCTAGCCCACTGAGATACCATGCCGCAGATTAACATGAATACCCCACACAGACACAGTATACTGACTCCAAGCAGTCCTTGTTTTAGCCCCTTAATGCCGAGCACCAGGCAGGATAACAACAATTACCTCCTTTTACCACTGTTTGGTATGACACAGCAGGGTATCATACTACCGATTTTCCTCACTCCCGATAGACGCTCTATCCACTACACCACGGAGGCAGCCCTCATGAGGTGAGGTGAAATGGGGTTTAACGTCGCATCCAAGATTATTGCACTTATATAGCGACGTGCATGTACGTGTATGTGTTTGAGTGGCTGCTTGTACTAGTCTGGACTGATGCTGATTTATAGTGCTAGCTCACTGAGATACCATGCCGCAGTTTAACATGAATACCCCACTCAGACACAGTATACTGACTCCGAGCCGACCAGTCCTTGTTTTAGCCCCTTAATGTCGAGCGCCAGACAGGTTAACAACAAGTACCATCTTTTAATGTCTTTTGATATGAAGCGGTCAGGGATCGAACCCCGGACCTTCCGTTCTCCAGGCGGATGTTCTACCACAAGACCACAGAGGCGGTGCAGCCCTCATGAAGGAGGAAAAGCCTGAAGTGTTGCAACTCAATTGGTCTTGGTGTCCTTGAGGTTTGCTTGTGTGGTATTTGAATTTTGGAACCCCCTAAACCTATAACTTTTAACATACGGGCATATGGCAAGGACACCTTGACTTTCATACTTAATTCCACTGCAGGTCAAGGATGTTTAGCATCTTGGACATGGGTCTAATGCTGACAGATCACAAATCTTAAAATATGTGAGTGACTGTCGTTTAACGTCATAGTAATATTCTAGCTGTATCACTCGAAATAATCCAGTCTGGGCCAGACAAACCATGTTTTTAAGCATGCCACCACTGTCTTCAAAATATGCCTCTGTTCACACAGCAGTAAAAATGGGTACCCGGTAGGATGAGATGGTTATGTGACTTTTAACCTTCTAGCCTCTGACATGGCAGGTCAGGTTGTATACTCCCCAGGGAGCTGAGAATGAAAAATCCACACTGATCCATTGACCCGGGTAATAATGTTAGCGGTTTGAACTTTCATCAAGTGCGCTGGCGCATCATTATTATTATTATTATTATTATTAAGCAAGTCACAGAGCCCGACTAATCAATCGACATGTCGGCACTTACGACAAACGAACCTGGAATACATGCGGTATCACACAAAGTCTAAGTAGTACAAATTGCCTCTCAGCACTCTTTAACAGAGCAAGGAAACTTGGACACAGCAATAAAAGATAAATTACTTATCAATAACTGAGATGCAAAACCATTATCCATGACCGTTCACCGAAGCCTTAAGCCAGATTACATCCACAGACATGGCCCAAAGCTTATCAAGGAATTGATTACACCCCGCATGGCCGGTCACAAGGCTAATTGACCCTGGTTTATTTCCAATAATGATACTGCTTAACAGCAGTGTTCCATCAGATACACTTGATTAAATCTCCACCAACCACACGACCATATATTAAAGGTTAAGCCAGAGGACTCTCAGAATGTAGCCCGTGGCATGTGCTCACTGAAGCCAGCTGTGCATGTCTATGGCTGTGGATGTACATATCGGTGACAGGTGACAGGTCAGCTGTATGACATGTTGAGTGACAGGTCAGCCATATACAACCGGGTCACCTCAACTCAGCCTACAATTTTGCTTCTCCAGAGGAGAAACAGGTTCCCTTTGGGACCAGACAAAACTTGTTCAGTGTTTGACACAGCAAAGAAAATTTGGGATTTTGTCAACAACAAAAAATTGTCAAAGAAAATGGTTGAAAAAGTAATGCTTCAGGGAGTTGAATTTTTTTTTTGTCAGCCACAAAAAAAAATTGTTGCAAGATTATTTTAACAAAAACATATCTAGGCTCACAGTATTATTTTTTTTTAAAATCTTGTTTTGCAGTTGTAGCTGAAAAAATATCCAGTCTCAATACAAAATATCCCCGCCCCCCTCCCCTCCGAGTTGTTGGTCCCTTAACCTCAAATTAAGTTATCTTGGTACACAGTCCACAATGTCTGTGTGAATGAATGTTGTTTTAATCACAATCAGCATTATTCCACCATCAGACAGAAGCCTGTAAATAAATCTGGAGAAGTTAAACCAGTGGTTGATAACATGAGCATGATAACGCCCTGTGAGGCAGGACACACAATGTGACCATCCAATTCTCACAGGGAGCTACGGGCCTAACTACCCCGGAGTCCGAATGGGGCAAGTCAAAAAAATATATTGCCACCCAGGGTTTATTTTCAAATATATATTTCCTTGTTGAAAGGTAACAGCTTCAGGTGGCAAAGTAGACAAAAATTTATGGATAACAACTGTTATACTATCATAGCGACATTTCGGTAAAGATCATTATATTGTTGTCAAGCAAGTATATTAGACTATAGACTAGTATATACACAAGACTAGTATATTAATAAAGTTGTTATCCATAGATTGCGCTACTCTGTAACCACTATTTTGCCTTTTACACCCAATGGAATCTGTGTTGGTAGATACTCAAGACTGATTATTCTCTCATGGTGAATTATATTTAGGATGTTGTCTATGAAATTGTATAATCAAAACCCCAGTAGATTTAACTTAGAAAGATGAGGGACGAGTTCAACATCCTGTTCAGTCCTGTATGACAACGACATCAGGATCTATAACGAGACGTCACCATAATAGTATATTAAAAGAAAACTTTTAAAAAAAACATTAAAAATTGTTATCCATATATTGCTTCTACTTTGTCATCTTCAAAGACATGCCTATCAAACAGCTTCAGGCGATCAAATACAACAGTAATCTACTGATTTTCTCAGAAGTTGTCTTTAAACTGTGAAAGCCGACTGCACCATCAACGCAGCTACACATTATGTGTAATTATCAAGGGGAGTAGCTTCCTAATCACCCTGGAGTGGTCGCCGATTCCATACGTATGGTCGAGAGCCTTTGAAAACAAGAATGTGCCCTCTACGTTGCAGTCCATGCTACATGTTACAGATAACAGCATGTAACAAATCTAGCTAAAATCTGTCCCACCTGAACACAGCCAGTTCCCTATCTCCACACGCGCATGTAATGCTACACATTCTTAATTCAATGGTACATAGATTTTATTGTTCACCAATAAGCATGGGCAGAGATCATCTGGTCTCTGGCATGGTTGGTTGGTTGGTTTCGCCACACTCATGACAGCGGTCTGTAAATAATCGAGTCTGGACCAGACAATCCAGTGATTCACATCATGAGCATTGATCCACGCAATTGGGATCGATGACATGCATCAACCAAGTCAGCAAGCCTGACCACCCGATCCCGTTAGTCGCCTCTTATGACAAGCATAGTCGCCTTTAAAGGCAAGCATAGGATGCTGAAGACCTATTCTACCCCAGATCTTCACGAGTCCTCTGGCAAGGGTAGTTGAGATGAAGGTGAAATAACCTCAAGATTATTGCACTCACATAGTGTATAACAGCAGCTCCAAGACGACCATTCCTTGTTTTATCCCCTTAATGATGAGGCCGTGCAGGGAAAAAGCATGGGAAGGTTGAATTGAAATTAAAATAAACTTGCAGACAAAACTTATTCACTTCCTACATCAAAGAATTTAATTATGACCAGTAAATGCATGAAGCATTATATAATTTTTGGGTAACAAAAGTTCCCGCGAGGCGGATTTGAACCACCGACCTAAGGATGTCAGCTGAACCTCTACAGTCCTCCGCTCTACCAACTGAGCTATCACGGGGCTGGGAGATGAATGTCACCAAAAACAAGTTATTCAAATTAATATCTAGCCGATCAATGAAATTTCATGTATGGCTAATATGTACTTAAAATATCAACAATTAATGACTAAGCACACAAAATCCATGAAATGTACTAAATGTGTGCTCACCAGCTTTACTTTCGGCAGTGAAAATGGTCAGTGACATGTGTGTCCCGGATCAGGGGTTAACAACAATTGTGTACACACCTGGTAACCCACAATAATATATGTGTAGTGAGAACTGTGTGTGTAAACACCAAGCATAACCAACAAACAGATGAAGTACATCTACGTAGCAACTGTAGTACATCTATGTAGCAACTGAAGTACATCTGTAATACATCTATGTAGCAACTGTAGCTCATCTATGTAGCAACTGTAGCTCATCTATGTAGCAACTGTAGCTCATCTATGTAGCAACTGTAGTTCATCTATGTAGCAACTGTAGCTCATCTACGTAGCAACTGTAGCACATCTTTGTAGCAACTGTAGCTCATCTATGTAGCAATTGTAGCTCATCTATGTAGTAACTGTAGCACATCTATGTAGCAACTGTAGTACATCTATGTAGCATCTGTAGTTCATCTATGTAGTAACTGTAGCACATCTATGTACCAACTGTAGCACATCTATGTAACATCTGTAGCACATCTATGTAGCAACTGTAGTACATCTTTGTAGCAACTGTAGTACATCTATGTAGCAACTGTAGTGCATCTCTAGCAACTGTAGTACATGTGTAGTAATCTATGTAGCAACTGTAGTACATCTATGTAGCAA